AGAGAGAGAGTGTGTGTGTGCGTGTGAGAGAGAGAGAGTGTGTGTGTGAGAGAGAGTGTGTGTGTCTCTGTGTGTGTGTGTGAGTCTCTGTCTGTGTGTGTGTGTGTGAGAGAGTGTGTGTGTCTCTGTGTGTGTGTATACCCGTCCTGCTCCGTCTGCTTGTGTACGTATGCCAGTATATCAGCGGCGCGTCCGGTTCCCTCACACACCACCACCGGCACCGGCGGGCTCTCCTGAAGATACTCCAGCACCGTCAGGATCACATTTGGACCTCCTTCAAAGATCAGAGCCACGACCGGGACGCCCTGACCAATGCCTGCGTACACACACAATATATATATTCATACAGTGGTGGCCAAAATGATCAGAACACTAGTATTTCCAGCAGCTAAAAATGTTTTTAAGTCAGTTATTTCTATCGTTTGCTATAGTGTGTCAGTAGGAAACATTAGTTTACATTTCCAAACATTCATTTGGCCATTAACTGTAATAATGCAGTGAGATTTGAGCTCTGATCTGATCATCATCAGTCTGTCTGGAGTCACATGAAGAAACAGAACAAACTGAGACAGACTCAATCCAGAAGAACTGTGTCTCCGAGACGCTTCAAGAAACCTCCTGTGAAGCTCCTGAGAAACTCTGCTCAAGTGCACCGAGGGCACAAGCTGCTTTAAACACAAAGGATGCTCACACCAAATGTTGATTTCATTTAGTTAATAGAAATTAACTGATAAAGAAAATATATTTATGACAGCATCCTCATCTTACAGCATTTTTACACAAATGCCTAAAACTTTTAACAGCACTGTAGCTTTGCAGGTAGGTAGGTTTTTTAATAATTTATGTATAAAAATTACATTTGTGACTTTTTGATCACTTAAATCTTGCATTGATGTTTTTTGCATTGATGTTTTTTTTTTAGTTTATCACTTTAATGTAATTCTTACATGTGAAAGAGTCTGAATGAAGAACCGCTGCTGGTGTGAATAACAATGACTGCAGGATAATATATGCTTGCGACCAATTGTTTGGGACTCAAAGGTGTGTGTGTGTGAGTGCGTGTGTGTGTGTGTGTGCGCGTCTCACGGGCGTGGATTCTCTGCAGGTTAATGTGTTTCTCCAGCTCTCTCCTGAGTTTGACTTCAGCTCCATATTTCCCGACTGTCCCATCATCCACCAGGACGAAATGAGAGTGGAAGTTGTTCAGCACGTTGAGTTTACTGAGAGGATTCAGCAGGGTTTGGTACGGCGCTACAACCTGAACACACACACACACACACAAACAAAGACAATGATTTTATGCTTTCATACAGATGCTTCCGAAATATTTTTTGTGATTTGAAACACTAATTTATTTCTGATTTAAGGTACAGAACTTTGTTCATACTGTCCAGCATTACTGTTGTAATATTTCAATCATTGATGTTTGTACACTACCGTTCAGAAGTTTAAGGTCATTAATATTGTTTAATGTGTGTGAAAGAAGTCTCTTCTGCTAACTAAGGCTGCATTTATTTGATCAAAAATACAGTAAAAAGAGTAAAATTGTATAACTGAGTAACACCATTACAATTTAAACAGCTGTTTTCTCTGTGAATATCTGTTAAACTGTAATTTATTTCTGTGATGCGCAGCTGTATTTTCAGCATCATTACTCCAGTCTTCAGTGTCACATGATCTTCAGAAATCATTCTAATATGCTGATTTATTATCAGTGAGATTCACAGTGATGGTCATGTGTAAAAAGGGTCATAAATGGGTCGCATAATGTGTGTGTGTGTGTGTGTGTGTGTGTGTAAATGAGTCTCACGTCTCTTCCGATGAATAAAGTGTATCGACCTGATCTTTAAACTCAAATGACTGTCATTATGATAATCAAGTTAATCCTGTAACTGCCGCTGTGAAATCACACACACACATATTTGCCGAGTCTGCCGTCTGTACAGCAGGTAGAGAGTCTGGTGCCGCCCGTCTGTACCCATGATTAGTGACAGTGCAGTGCACACGTGATCATTCTGAGTGTTCTGTGTGTGTGTGTGTGTGTGTGTGTGTGTTCAGACCTTGGCTCTGTACGAATGGGATCCTCCCTGGAAGTTGATGACTCCGTAAGCATCAGTGGGACTCTCCTCCGTGTGCTTCTCCACTGACCACTGCTCCAGATCGGACAGCTCTCCCTCGGTCAGGCGCACGTCTGAGTATTTCACTGCCAGTGTGGCGGTGAAGCCCACGTGCTGCCGAACCAGACGCCCGCAGCAGCATCTACACACACACACACACACACACACACACACATCAGCACACGCTCCATCTGAACATCTCGACTGTGTCAAACGTCATGTTTCATGACACTCACCGCACGAGCTGCTGACAGATTTGGCATCCTGGGAGGCATCTGCAAAAACAAACAAAAGTCAAATTAGAGGGAAACCAGAACTACTATGAATATGATAATGACACGTGAAATTAACTCAATTGAATTAAGTCATGCGGTTGCACTCGAGCTTGATTCAGTCCCATCGGCGATGTTTGGACTTGCAGCACAAACGCTGCAGGATGACACACAATAAAGTCTGAGCCTTTAATAATAACGTGAAGCGCGTGACGTACCTGTGCGGGTCTTTTGACACGGGCAGTATATAGACACATTCCCTCTTGGTGAAACTGTGTTCAATCCAGGACTTCTGGGACTGCAGAAGAAAAACAGGATCAACATAAAGCAGCAGCACATTTCAGACGGTCACTCTCCCCCCGACTGACATTTCACACTGAAAACATTGCATTTAAGTCTAATAATGATGATGACCAAAAACTGTAAAGTCTCGACGTGACGGAAGCAGCATCAGATCTTTTCTTCATGATTGTGACATTCATCTGAGCGTAACAAATTATTGAAAAGAAAAACACAGGGCGGGACTTGGTTCTATGCATCGGTTGTTGATTGGATGTTGAGATGTGGGCGTGGCTCTCAAACGGAAGCAGATCTGAATGAGCATGTAGTGGATTATAAGAAAGAGGCAGACTTTAACCGGACTAAATGATTGGAGAAGTCCTGCACACATCACAAGAGCCTGTCGTTTCACTGGATTACACATTACAAGATCTAAATAAAAAAAAATACAAAAAGTTCACAACTAAACAGATAGGATGAACTTCCAATAGGATGAAAAAACAGACATTAAACATGTCATCAAGAAAACGTCTTTCATCATACAGATGCTGAATTAAATGCACGCTGCTCGTGTTTGGTGTGAGATGGGCCATTGAAAAGTCTGGTAACAAAAATGTCCTTAAAAATCAATATACAATGCATTTATATAGCCATGAACTTCACAGGTCCAACAAAATTAGGCTACTAAGAGAATACCGGCTGAAGAATAAAATGCTGTACAGCAGAAGAGATTGATTGGACAACTGACCAACAATGTTTACTCCCATTAAAAGTTAATTTGCTATTTATTTTGCTGTCCTAACTATGCACAGTTATATGTTTGGTCACATGTATTTATTTGCATGTAACGCTGTTGTTCGCTGCAGTCTGAGAGCCATCAGAACAGACCTGAGTGAAAACACAGAAGGCACTCAGAGCAAACAGAGGATCGTGTGTCGTGTGAATGAACGACGGACGGGTCGAGCTTCAGCCGAAGGGTCCACAGGGGTCCGAATAAGCTCCACATTCCTGTGAGAAACCCAACCTGCTGCTCACAGCCATCAGTGTTTGATGCAGATCAGATCAGATCGTACACACGGCCATATAAATATTAAACACTTTAATCATGGGATTCACATCAGCTAGTAGTAATTAGGTTTGTCATGACTAGAGCCCGACCGATATGGGTTTTTTGGGGCCGATACCGATATTAGGGAGTAAAAAAAGGCAGATATCAATATATCGGCCGATATTCTTTGTGTATATTATAGTACAGTACCAGTCAAAAGTTTGGACACTTTCCCATTTGTGTGTCCAAACATTTGACTGGTACTATATATAGAATACAGTATATACATTAACAGAATATACATAAACACATTTTTTGCAATGATCACTCAAATGTGGTGATCAAACACTTATAATGACGTGACAGAGATACGTAGTGGAGGCAGGGCCCATTCTCATTCGAAAGCGGGCTTCTAGACGTACACTCGATTCACGTTCGAGAGGGTTCCTCAAGCTAAAGGGATCCCCCGAATTTGGTGCGGATCCACTGCGCCGTTACGAAGATATGGCCATTCAAAATTTTAATGGTTTTCCATAGACATAAGCTTTAAAGCGTTTCATCCAGGTCGCCAGTAGCAAAAAAAAAAAATTAATATCGGCGGCATATTCGCCGATACGATATATCGGCAACAGGCTCCTATCGGCCGATAATATCGGCAAAACAAAATATCGTTCAGGCTCTAGTCATGACACCAAGATGTTATACACTGAAAACTCAATATCACCACAAACCTTCAGTTGTCAACTATTACAAACATCTAACGTCACATATACTCACATAAAGTTTGTTACATCTCCTTTATTTCTATAGCGATTTATACAGATTGAGTGTTGTGAAATGAAACAGACTGACTGTGACTCTGACCTTCAGCCGTATCAGCTAAACTAACATTTACATCAAGACTGCTGGTTAAACACTAATCATGAGGTTTACAATAATAACTACAGAAACACAAACACTAGATTACTACCTTAGACCTGATTTCAGGAGCCACCCAGAAAGAGACCAGCATTAGCAAAGTCTTCAGAGATGTGATGAAGCTCTGAAACTTCATCAAACTCAGTGACTAGTTCCTCCTCAGCCTTAACACACGTTTCTGTGTCTCACTGGACTGATTTAACCCTGTTACTGCAATAGTGATCTAGACACGGTTCCCTGGAAATCATGTACGCTATAGTTCACCCAGAAATGAACACTTTCATCATTTACTCTCCCTCGTGACTTTTCAAACCTGCATGACTTCCTCCTGTTGAATAGTTTGGAGAATGTTGGGAACACTGAACTCAAAATATCAGTTGTTGTTCTCCACTAAAGAAAGAAAGTCACACAGGTTTGGAACGACGTGAAGGCAGAAAGCCGTTCCTTTAAAACTGAGCTCGAACACCAGGGATTTTTAATTAAATTTCCCAGAGTTCCTTTCTACTCCCAGCCTGAGCTCACAGCAGCCCCGGCGAACACGAGCGGATTACACACATATTTCAGCAGAAACACTGAAAGCCATGAACACTGAGACGGAGATGATGTCTGTCTACCTCAAACTCCTCATCTTCATCCTTCTGACGCAGCAGCGAGTACAGAAACATGGCCAGACGACTGCAGACGAGAGAGAGACCGCAGGACTAGTTAGAGCTAAACTGAGCTTCTCAGCACAGTTAATCAGCAAGAGGTCGTGACGGCGCTGATGAATGTTTCTGACCGAGAACAAGAATATTAGACAGAGAGAGAGAGAGCTTACGGTGTATGAGACTCGCTCACTGGCACAGACTGTTGTGATTGCAGCAGAGCAGATCAGCGTAAACTTGTGTTCACACCACATCAACAAACAGCTTTATTTTATACAGAAAACAACTAACCAGAATGAGTCACAGTAACTCATCCGCACCTACGCTGCTGCTGAAAAACAGCATAGAAAAACCTAAACGAATCTGGTTAACAATATCTGAAACCTTACACTGCCAGTCAAAAGTTTTTGAACAGTAAGATTTTTAATGTTTTAAAGAAGTCTCTTCTGCTCACCAAAGCTGCATTTATTTGATCCAAAGCACAGCAAGAGCAGTAATATTGTGAAATATTTTTACTATTTAAAATAACTGCTTTCTATGTGGTTTTTTTTCTTCAGGAAAGATCCAAAGATCAGCATTTATCTGAAATAAAAAGCTTTTGTAACATTATACACGCTACCATTCGAAAGCTTGGAGTCAGTATCATTTTCTTTTGGGGGATGGGGGGGACTATAGAAATTATAGAAATTAATACTTTTATTTAGCAACGACGCTTTAAATTGATCAAAAGTGATGATAAAGACATTTATAATGTTACAAAAGATTTCTATTTCAGATAAATGCTGTTCTTCTGAACTTTCTATTCATCAAAGAAACCTGAAAAATTCTACTCAGCTGTTTTCAACATAATAATAATAAATGTTTTTTGAGCAGCAAATCAGTATATTAGAATGATTTCTGAGGAATCATGAAACTGGAGTAATGATGCTGAAAATTCAGATTTGAAATTTATTACATTTTAAAATATATTCAAATAGAAAGCAGTTATTTGAAATAGTAAAAATATTTCACAATATTCATTATATTTTGGATCAAATAAATGCAGGCCTGGTGAGCAGAAGAGACTGCTTTAAAAAGCTTTTGACTGGTAGTGTGTATATTACGAGCACTTTTGAAGAATCTCTTCTATTCACTTTGGATAAAAGCAACTGCTAAATAATGAAATGTAAATGAATCATAAGAGGTGTAATCATGAAGATGCAAACGGAGATGAATCTTCATGATTAGATCCAGCGTCTCTGTACGTGACTCCATCAAACGCTAAATGAATTAAATGACACACATCTCAGATGAGCATCTCTGATAAACACTATGAAGCTCATGGCACTCAAGCTCCATAAACGCAGAGATAACAGCAGTGACTTTATCAGAGCGTCCGCAGATAACAAACACACCTGCACTGACTGAACCCAAACCAAATCACACCGAGTCCAACACACAAAACCAGCTTCCTGAGATTTCAAACCAAACCATCATTCCTGCAGTCAAACACAACACAACGATCCCAGGTCATCAGGGGTCACTGCAGAACTACTAGAGGTCAGTGACTCACAACCACTCAAACACAAACCGCTGTGAGTCTGAGAACTGAGTCATGTTTATTACTGCATTTTATTTTACAATACACTATACATATACACCACCGTTCAAAAGATCATCAAAATGATCAAAAGTGACAGAAAAGACATTTATAATGTTACAAAAGATTTCTATTTTAGATAAATGCTGTTCTTCTGAACTTTCTATTCATCTGTGAATCCTGAAAAATAAAATGTATCACAGTTTCCACAAAAATATTGTGCAGCACAACTGTTTTCAACATTGATAATAATCAGAAATGTTTCTTGAGCAGCAAATCAGCATATTAGAATGATTTCTGAAGATCATGTGACACTGAAGACTGGAGTAATGATGCTGAAAATACAGCTGCGCATCACAGAAATACATTACAGTTTAACAGATATCCACATAGAAAACAGTTATTTTAAATAGTAATAATATTTCACTGTTTTACTGAATTTTTAATCAAATAAATGCAGCTTTGGTGAGCAGAAGAGGCTCCTAAAAATTCAACACCCTGGTGTGTGACTGAAATGACAATATATACCGCAGTGCCTATATAGTGTCTGACTGCAGGACGCTCATACGGAGGAAATCTGAAATCATTTACGGATTAAATAGTTCATGAAAGTGGGTCAAACATCCACCGATCGTCCTTCACCTTCAAATCTGAACTCAGCTGGAGCTTTGTGTGTTTAAGCTGTGTGTGTGTGGGTGTGTGAGAGAGAGAGAGAGCGTGTGTGTGTGTGAGAGAGTGTGTGAGAGCGTGTGTGAGAGCATGTGTGTGTGAGAGTGTGTGTGAGAGTGTGTGTGTGTGTGTGAGAGTGTGTGTGAGAGTGAGTGTGTGTG